GAGAAAAATGATCACTTCTTGCAGGGGCTCAGGGACAATGTCAGATGAGAATTGACAGAAAAGGTACTGGGTCCCACGACTGTTGGACTTTACATTAGAAAAAAATTGGACGAGAACGGGTTTCAAACAGGCTGTAAATCACGATAAGTGACAACCTACATTTGAAGATCCTGAATTGCTGAAATCATTTTGGAATGATTTATTTGACCCCTTGCGATGAGTAAAATATCTTTGTCTTGTCAACATAGGTTATAGGGTGGCCGCCCTCTTTTTGGGAGCACTTAATCCACCATAAGCTAGTTCATATATCTTACAGGTGCCCGATCATATTTGTCTCGTGATATCAAGTTTTACCCACTTTCAAATTCGAGATATTGTCGACAAGTAATCTATACCTATCTTTACGTGTTGTAATTAGCTTGTGTGGACATGAGTGGGCTCGATATCTATTTTTCACGTCAACTGTACAAAAAATGAGGTCAACAAATTGACGCCGTCTATGGAAAACACCACTATAATCATGAACATTCCTGAGGAAAAGTTTGTCGAAAATTTGTTGGACATTTCCCTAAAAAAATGATTTGTTCTTGAAAAAGAATAAGTGGAAACCCCAAAAGTTGGAAAAATCTGATAATTTACCCAAGGAAAAATGAGTTCAGATCGTGATGTCCCTCATAGGAGGGTAAGAGAAAACCCAAATGAAGATGTCCCACAAACAGCAGTCCAAGTGGGTCGGCGCCGCCCCCACCATCATTATAGGCGTGTTGGGATGATGGTAGCTGCTCAACTCACCAGGGAGATAGCAACCATGGCAGCTAACATGAGAAATATCACCTACCAAAACATAGCTATGCAAGAACTCCTCTTGCAAATGCAAAGCTAGTAAGGTCCTCCTATTCTTCCTTTTACACTGCAATGATATTATCCACGTGAGGATAAGTTCAAAGCCAGATGGCCCCATCTCCAGGCGAACTAGAGAAGTAAGCCCCCTTGAAAGGGAAGTGAGAGTTGACATCTCCTCAAATCGCATTTATGGCTGACTCACCAAGGCCCAGGCTATCATAGAGGATAATTTTCTCCCCAAACACGAGCCAGAACATATGCTGCAAAGGTCCTTTAGTGTGTTTGGCATAATTGGTCCCATGGAAACCAGACACAAGCCATCTTAGCCACCTCTCGTACCTAGAATAGTCCATAACCACTACCTCCCGCGGCACGACAATAGAAGATAGGCAAGGGCATACCGCTTGTGCTGTCTCGCCTAAAAATAGGCACCACAAGTGGAAGGAAATGGTGAAGGATCAAGCAGGCCCATCTCATACTCTTCCCAAATATCAGGATAATGGAGAAGAAGACTCGGATGAACCTTAGTAGTAGGTGCTTCAGCAGTTGGTGCTTCTTGTCCTGAAGCTTTGTTCTCAAGAACGCCCTCTTAGTCAACTACCTTACCTTTAGCTTCGACGGCATCATCAGTTAGGGTCTGAGGCACCTCCTCTAAAAACTCTGCTTTCAGTTCAGAAGCATTGAATTCTGAGTAAAGCTCTCTTACTCTGTCTACTACCTTAACATATGCAAACCTCATCTAATAGCCATCGAAGCACTGGTACTCTTCCATCAAGTGGAAGTTGGCAATGTAGTCCTTCATCGCCTCCTTACCTGCCTTCTGAGCACCAGCCTTGGCTTGCTTAGCTTCCTATGCATAGTACCCTATTTGGGTCTCCAAAAACCATTTGCGTCGTTTAGCTCAGCATTTTCCAAGTTGGCATACTTTTTTTAGAAGGAAGTATGCCCCAACTAATTGGTTCTACCCATTTGGCAATAATTGGGTGGAAGCCAACATATAGGATCTCAGCACCGCCCTAAAAAATGGGTGCAGAGATAGATTTATACCTATCCAAAACAAAAATTCACTAACGGCCACACATCCTGGCCTCAGATAGCATGCACGTTAATTGGCTTCGAGTTCTAAGAGTTCTATGAAATTTAGGATTCTATATTTCTCTCTAAGTTCAACCAATTTTGTAGAGGTCATAACATAAGGGATTCTTGCAGTCCCCATCATGCCTCGTAATCGATGGGACCTTCACTCGTAGCCCAAAAGCCTTCGTCTGACCCCCATACATGGCATGCTCCTCAACCCTAGCAATGGTTACCCTCCCATTGCTAGTTCTAGACCCAGAAGCCATGGTAATTGAAAAATGATGGAATGAAGGATGGGAAGATAGATAAATTACCTAAATGAAAAGAAGCTCTAGGAATGCGATGTTGTCGGAGAACATAAATGATCAGAAAATTTTTTTGGTTGCTGGAAAAATCTGGAGATTTTCACAAAGGTAAAAAACTGATGCAATGGCATGATTCTGGCTTTTATAACAGGAGAAGACAAAGCTCCACCATTGGATCTAGATCTATTTCATTTGAAACGTTCATTTTTAACTACATCTGAGGCGTTGAATTCAAACAGTTTTCCTTATTAACGCCTCAGATTTTTGCATATATCTCACGTATGAACCTTGTTGTGTCAAACTCAAAATATAGCAACGTGACTATCATTGTGCATTCAATAGGTAACGGTTGTATGTGTATTGGAAGTCGAAACACTTCAGTTATCTTTTCTTGGTAATGTACAAAAAATCAAACCATTGGTATTATTATCAAAATCATGCTTTATTTCAATTAAGGAGCCTCAGCATTTCAACATTTTCCTATTTCGACTCACCAAACAAATTTCAACTATTTCAATTAAGGAGTCTCGACAATTTTGCATTTCCTACTTCAGCTTACCAAACAAATTTTAGTAGTTCAGCACTACATAAGGATAAGACGATGTGTGAGAATCATGTTCGACTTCTAACTCCAACTATAATATTAATATCTATACTCGGATTTGGAGGAGATTTGGAGGACTATTGTATTGGTCGAAAACCTAACCATAATAGGAAAACATGTTTTAATGACATTTTGCTCAAAACAGAAATCCACGCATGACATAAATGACCATACATGGACTTGGGGGACAATTATTACGCTTTACCATCTAGCGCCTCACATGGTCGATTCGTCGAAGCTCTTTTTACCGAGGTCGAAGCCCCTCAGCTAAAGCTAAATCTGAGGCCTAAATGAAGCTCCTCTGCTGAAGTAGTGAGGTTCAACGAAGTAAAATCTGAAACTCAACTACGACGAGAAACGACCCACATTTGAAGATCGTTAATTGATGAAATCCTATTGGAATTATTGATTTGACCTTTGTAATAAGTAAAATGTCTTTGTCTTGTTAGCATAGATTATAAGATGGCTGCCCCCTTTTGGGAGCATTTAATGCACCCAAGTTAATTGCGTCAAAATTGATACTTATGATGAGATGTTTCGTTAAATGAGATGAGGTCACGTGTCTCCTCATCCAATGATCACTATTTCACATGTAACACTATAAATATCCCCCTTTGTATAGACTACAAGCTATATATTCTCTCTCCTTTTTTTAAAGTTTGATCCATTGTTGCAAAAGTTAGATGTTTGATCTTGATATTTAATTTGAATATTTGTTGATTGTTCTTTATCGTGCAATCTCGATCATATCTCTTGCCGACGTCCGAACATATTTGTCTCATGATATCAAGTTTCTCCCACGTTCAAATTTGAGATATTGTCGACTAGTAATATGTACTTGTCTTTACGTGATGGAATAGCTTGCGTGAGCACGAATGAGCTCGGTATCTGTTGTCCACGTCAACTGTGCAAAAAAGAGATCAACAATGTGTCTAACTAATTCATGGCCATCATTGTGTAGTAATACACATAAGCTCATATTGTGGTCGTAACCTTTGCAAATAAGCTAACACGATCACCATGATGCTAAAGTGTGGCATAGACAATAACACTTACCATGTGATCCCAATGTCAAGTTTACGTCAATCCATTAGAGAAGAAGTTATACTTGATGAAGAAAATTGCTTCAGTACAAGTCTACAATCATTATAAATCATAATTGGCAACCAGATAAGTTTAATTATCAACAGCCCATGGACGAGATTTTCTAACCACAAATCACCTGCAATGCTTCCATAGCTACTCATAAACTTATTGATAGAGAGAAGGATGTTACAAGGGCTTACTCTGCAATTTCTGAAAGAGGTCCTGCTTATCAACATATAAGCATGTCGTAAAATATGCTTTTGACCAAGAAGACATAATCCAAAGTTGACATTTATATAGTCACTGTTTGGTTTATATAGAAATTAGATTTTTAATAATTTTTTTAAAACAAAAATGGGTCAAACATAGTCTTAATCGTTTCACCTTGCAAGGGAGCCAACCTGTAAAAGTAGGAGACAAGCTTACAAGGAAAATATTAGCTCAGCTTGCTCCACGACTTGCCTCAAGAGTGAACTAAGTTGATGAGTGGCTCGTCCAACATGACATCCCTAATCACAAAGGAACGAGGTAGTCACAAGTCATGATCAATTAAATTGCAAGGGGATTAATCTAAAGTCTAATTAAACTTTTTTCCTTAGCCACATTACTGTTGGAAATATTGAATGAATG